CTTCATAATTGTTAGCCTCAGGGTCCCTCTCCTTGCTTCCTGCTCATCTCTATGGCTTTAAAATATGCTGCATGACAGCTCCAGCTGATTAACTTCATCACTGAAAGGACAGCTTCATTTTAGCAATTCTTCTGCTGAGAAAAGCTTTGATTATATCTGACTGGGAATGTCAACATCACAATGAAGACAGTCATATGTGTGTTAGGATAGGCATTCATACCTTACCTTCACTGGTCAGAACTCAAGCCACTGAGTCCATTTACCGTGCCCTCAACAGGGGGCCATAGTGCTCATCCCTGCTTGTTCTCTCTTCAGCATGTAACAGTGCATGCTTTTACATTTCAGTCTGGCTGGTGTCTGATCAGAGTGTCAGAGGTCTACACTATCTGTCCAAGTAGGCTGGGCATGGATAAGAGATGATGCTCTTCCATGTTACCTCCTCTCTTTGAGCTGTCTCTCTCTGCTCAGAGGTAGGACAAAGACTTTTATGCTGCCTATTTCATACTGACCTATCTAAATGTTAATCCTATGGATACTGTTTGAAGAATTTTTGTGACAGAAAAGATATAAATTCTTTGTACTAAAAAAAAAAAAAAAATCAAAGTGATTGTTCTTAAAATACTGAAAACAGCTGGGTATGATGGTACATGCCTGTAATCCCAGTACTCAGGGAGACAGAGGCAGATGGATCTCTGTGAGTCAGAGGCCAGCCTGGTCTACAAAGCAAGTCCAGGACAGCCAAGGCTACACAGAGAAACTGACTCAAGAAATAAAAAAACCAAAACAAACAAACAAACAAAACCCACCAAACACAGAATTTACTCCATGTGGACAGTTCTCTAATACAGCTTCTCTTTCAATGATCTTCCCTAGAAACATTGGAATTTAAAAATGTGAAATTCACGATGAAGAATATCACATTTCGATGTTTTCTCTATGGATCCATGACCATTGGAATCTGGACAGCTCTGCTACTTTCGTTTTTAAAGTATAATTATGAGGACAGACATCAGAGTAAAATCCAGGAGCCCAGAAGGGCTAGGTCACTTGGAGATGTGTACCAGCAAACCTATGACTCAAAGGAAACTCCCAAGCAGAACACTAATGGTAAGTTTGATGCAGATGAACCTGGAAAGCCAGAATTATATCTAGGGTCAAATTGTGTTTTTGTTAACTATTACAAATTCAGCACTTGGAAGAATAAGAGAACACCCTCCTGCAGGTAATTTAACTTCCAAACTATAAAATATTTCATAGATGGATATATTATACATAGAATTCAATAGGGCGTTTACACACACATTTACCACCTAAATTTCTCGTTTTTATGTAGTTTGCAATATTGGCTTCAGGCAGCTTTCTGTTTTCCTCAGAAATGAATTTCAACAAGTACAATAGAAATATCACCCCCAAACCTTTTCCACCTACCAATGTCAAAGACAACTGTTGTCTGAATCCAGCAATGTCATTCCACATCCTCTGCGTGCTATTCCTCAGCAGTTCTGGTACTGCGTAGTTTAACCTATCTGTAGACAGTCTGTGTCAATATTCCCTGGGAATTTGCTCCCCCTAACACTCACTGTTGTAAGATTTGTGCTCCATGTTTATATGGGATGAACAGTTTGACAAAATAAGTCTCCAAAGATGAAGAGAATAATAAAGAGACCATGAATGGCTTGAAGGCAGATGTGTTCTGGGCTCTGGGGGGCTCTGGAGCACTACTGACAGTGTGAGGAGAGTGGGAATGGCCCTCTGCAGCCTGCTTTCTCTCTTCTCCTCTGTAATTCCTGAGTTATAGTTAGCTCTATGCTTACACCATGGGCCCCTGAGAATCTTTCTCTTTCCAGTTCATCTCTCTGCTGTTCAAACCACACCAAACCAGTTGACCTGACCTCAGACTCTGAGGCTCTGCTCTGTGGAGGTTAACCTCTACTTAGAGTTACCCTAACTCTACTTAGGTTAATCATCATTCCTATCATTTCATTTTGGTTAGTCTTGTCCCTTAGCTGAGCTCTGCTTTTTCTGCCAGCTTCTGATGCTGCTGCGGTGACTGCTTTAACATCTTAGTAAGTTTGGTCCAGCTGTTTCAGCTCAGTGTTGGAATCTATTGGCTGTCCTTTTAAATTCCATTTGGGACTTTCCCAGTTCTTGTTACGACATTTTTTTTTTAAATTGGATCCTGGACATTAAAGATACTGAGAGGTGGGGCTGGAGAGATGACTCAACCATTAAGAGCACTGACTGTTCTTCCAGAGGACTGAGGTTCAATTCTCACCACCCACATGGCAATTGTCTGTAACTCCTGTTCCAGGAGATCCAACTCCCTTACACGGATATACATGCAGTCTGTTGCAGGATATTTGATCCCATTAGGAACTCCAAAATCGTGAACTATAAAACCCTTTTTCTTGTATGGTGTGGTTGAGCCCTATCACACACCTTTAATCCAAGAACTTTCTGTTTATTGTAAACTGGTGATTATGGTGTGGTTCACCCAGCCCTAGCACACACCTTTATCCAAGAGCTTTCTATACACAGGATTTAATAAAGTTAACCCTAGGACAAGAGGCAGAGCAAGAAACCAGCTGACAGGGATTAAAGAGTAGGAGGGACTTTGAATTGAGGAAGGGCTTTTTGGGCTTTTAACTCTATAGCTTAGGCTTTAGCTCTCTGGCTTTTGGGGCCTTGGGCTAGCAAGCCTTTGGGCTGGTTTTTTGTTTGTTTGTTTGTTTTTGTTTTTGTTTTTTTTTTTTGGCCTTTTCCTCCTGGGCTGTCAGATGTGCCAGTGAGCCTTCTGGGTTTTTTCCACCGAGACCTGAGCTGAGAAGGAAGGTCAGCTGGGTGCTTTCTCTGCCTCTCTGAGATAGTAGGTTTTCACACCAGCACCTGGCTCCTGCGTCTTTATTGGTAAAAAAAAAGAATGGTTGTGATTTCCATTTTTTAAAACAGTCAAAACACTAATGTACATAAAATAAAAATAAGTTATATGAAAAAAGATATTGAGAGGCATTGTAGCATGATTCCAAGCAGGTTCCCTTCACTGAGGTGTAGGACAAGTATAAGTAAAAGTGAGTGTGTCTGTCACTCACAAAAGCCAGTGAACAGAGGCAATAATTGAATCTTAAAACTTCACTTTATTCAGGCACCAGCAATCTGAGAGAGGAGAGGATTAACATCCTGAAGGTCTGCCTTTAATTAAATGTCCAACCCACAGATTATGTAGGAGGGCGGGGACAGAGGCTGTCAGTTTATTCAGAGTTTGGCCTTGACATTCTGGTTAAGGTGGTTGACCACAGTTCTGAGATTTCTTATAAATGTCTGTTTCTCATTGTTACTGCTTTCACTCTTCTAGCATTCTGTGGATGTCTGGGCTCAAGTAAACAATGGATATAGTTAATTGCTGCTGGTATCACCCTTGTACTCCCCTAGGGACATTTGGTCTAGCACAGTTACCTCAGAACAAATAGACCATGAACAGTGTGCATGTGCTAAGCTAGGAATATGTTAGTGACGATTCCCTTCTGCAACACTGAGTTTAAGTGTGTCATACAGTACAAAATGTGAAAATGCTGCTATTGGTCCCTTCTGTCCTCTACTGGAAGGAACCTATAGGTATGTGTGTTCTGACCACTCTACCCTGCCCTACCTGCCTATAGTGCTGTATGCATACCGTCTCAGGTAGACAGGTACCATGAACACTCAGCTCCCTGAATTTGTTTGGGGGTCCTAGCAGGAAGCATAGCTACTTGGTGAAGACGCATTCTCCTCTACTCAGGGCAGGTGGACCTCTTTGATCAGGAGTGCAGCTTTGGGAGGGATGCACATGGAGCTGTGAGGAAGGAGGAGGGACACCCACCTAATCAACCAGATCAGCCAAGTCAACCCTGGTGATCAATGTGGTGACAGACATTGCAGCCATATCACCCTCACTTCCAACAAGAGAGCTGGCCCTGGCTACAGTGGCCCCTGGGTATAGCACTTGGGAGAGCAAGCCTCACACTTCACCTGGGCAGCACAGTAGAGCTGGCCCTGTGAGGGCACGAGAGGCTCCGCCCCTTGCCAACCTCGGCTTAGGGTGAGCTAGATGGGACCGTGCTGGGGATATTGTCCTGGTGGTGTGGGTGCAGGAGAGTTGGTGGGCTGACCAGCTTAGCTATTACTCAGGCCCAGATCCAGGGCTCTGAGTTGGCCCACCACAGCATCTACCCTGTGGTACATCCCATTTATGATCTACTGGAGCAGTGAAAGAGCCAGTCCTGTAGATCCAAAAGCAGCAGAATCTCCATGACACAGGGCAACAACAGGATACTGAGAGGAGTCCAGATGAGGATCCAATATTGATGATGTAGCAGAAGCCAGAGGCCTTGAACCACTCCAATGACTCATTGCAATGAACGTTTGCAAGTAAAGATGTGTGGACAAAGGGACACACCAGGACACACTGCAGCTTCCACAGCAACATTTTTTTCTTTTAGTTTTTGTTTTCCTTTTCTGGGGAAGGTTATAAGGGCGGAGGGCAGATATGAAGGGACAGGTAGATAAGTGGGGTTGGGGTACATGATGCAAAATTCACAAAGAATCAATAAAAAAGCTTAAAAAAATAATCCAGCTTCATTTTGGTTCTCACTTAATGCTGACTTTTACAACCTTGTCACTGGGCAGTGTCAGCTCATCCTGCCTCTCCTCCCCTCCTTGCAATCCTTTGACATGAAGGGTTAGAAGGCTCAAATGCCCACTAGTCTTCACTGGCACCAGGTTCAAAGAGAAATAGAACACCAGCTATTCTGGTTCACACTGCCCGCTCTGTCTCATTGCTGCCAGATGAAAGTGAATGCTTAGCTCCTTTGTTTGGAGGTCTCATGAGAGGCTTGGGAAAGTAGAAGGCTACTGGCTCTACCCTGCCCCATTTTGCTGTCATGGGGGTTGAAGGTTCAACATCCACTAACTGCTATCAGGTGAGGCTAGAGCTCCTCCCCGTTCAGTCTCCCTACACCAACCAGGAGGGTGAGTAGAACTGCTGACCAATGGGATATCAGGCTCTGCCTGGCCCCACTGACACCACCAGGTAGGGCAATAGGAATACTACTGTTTGCTTCCTAAGGGTGACGTGGAAAATCTGGAACAAGTTTTGCAAAGGTTTTTGTTTTGTTTTTGTTTTTGTTTTTGTTTTTAGGCTATGCTTTTCCCCAGCTCTGTCCTAGGCTAGGGAAATCAGTTTATTATCTTGGAGGTTTGCTGATGATGTTTTATCTGTGACTATTTTTCACCTGGAAACTTCTATAGCTCCTGTGTGGCATTTATGAAATATGTATGTATGTATGTATGTATGTATCTTATTTATACATAAGTGTGTGTGTGTGTGTGTGTGTGTGTGTGTGTTTAAGAGAGACAGAGAGAAAGAGACAGGGAGAGAGACCATTCCCTGGACTGCACATTGTTCCTTGTCCGCTGACTTAAATCAGGTAACTAGCTGCTGCTGTGCCTTCCCCTCCGTAACTTCTTCTAGGACTGTGTGTCAAGGTAATTTCTCACTTCTTAAGCTGCTTTTTGTCGGGGTGTTTAGCACAGCAACAGGAAAAGTGATTAATGCAGCAAACAAGGTGGAGTGTCTTTCTTCATCTAAAATTAATGACAACACTTAACTAAAAAGTCTTCTTTGGTTTATGTAAATGCTTTGTCATGTGGGGGTAGTTTAGAGTTCAAGAAAATGACTGTTTCAGAAAAATTCACGATAGGGTTGCTCTTGTTACTTGCATTAGTGTGACAATAGTAAGCTTTTACTTACATAACTCAAATTACCTTTTCTTGCAGATGAGATTGACTTTTCAAACCCAGAATTTCTCGAAGGATTAGTGCAATATGGATTTAATGCCGTTCTTAGTAGAAGATTGGGCATCGAGAGACAGGTGCCGGATTCCAGGGATGAAATGTATGTTCTCCCACTAACCAGACTTTACTCTTAGCACATTAGAAGTCCTGTAGTGTAGATTCCTATTCTTAGCTCTTTAAGCTGGGCAATGTCAAGCTTTTGACATTTGTGGTGTAGAGACCACCTTCCGCATAGGCAAAATTGGTTCTAAAGGTTTGGAAGAGCTAAATAAAGCACTGGAGGGTTTTCACTCAGTCACCAGCAAGGGCTTCTGGCCAAAGCATTAATTCCCAATAGAAAATGCTTGGAACATTTACCTATCTTTTTTGTCAAATTCTGCTTCATTTTCGTTGTCCTTCAGTTGTCTGTGTTAATGTTAACTGTGGTAAAATACACATAAAGTTGCTATGTTAATAATTTTCTAGGGGACTATTCAGTAACACTAAGCACAGCTATAATGGTGAGCAACCACAGCACTGCCTGAACTGAAACTTTGTACCCTTCCTTTCTCCCAGCCTACTTTCAGTGTCAAATTAGTAAAAGTAAACATTTTGTCTTTTGGAAGATTGGTTTGTTTCACTTAGCACAATGTTCTTGTTCATCTATTTAGCATTATGTTTGTTGATGCCTTTTAAATATCGTTTAGGTTCCAATCATTTCCTGGAAAAAAAATATCAATTTCCATTACCCAAAGGAAACATACACTAAGGAAAACATATACTTTCCAGGAAATTGGAGAGTGAGTCATATTGCCTTATTTTGTGATACTGTACAATACAAACATCTGAAGCGACAAGCAACATTAATGATTGGGTACACTCAAGAAATGGAGTGTTTGCACATAATGACACAGTGCAACTGAGTCATAATAAAAGAAAACAAACTTGGGCTGTGGATGAAGTTCGGTTGGACTGTTTGCTTGGCACACACAAAGCCCAGGGTTTGCTCCCAGCACCACATCAACCAAGAGCAGTGGTGCACACCTGTAATCTCAATGTTTAGAAGTGGTGGCAGGAAGATTAAAAGTTCAAGGTCATCCTCAGCTACATGTATCCCCTCCTCACACAAAAAAATAAAAAGAATGAATTTATATAAAAAGAATGAATTTATATTTGCTTTAAACTATAAACATGGCATGAATTTAATTTGGAAGACAATTTGTAAATCAAGTTAAGATTCATATACCACAAAGATCAGTATTTTAATTCCAATAAATTGTGAATTTCTTTCCATGCTATTATTTCCCCCTAAATATGATGTAAAATAGTGTAACTGCCTTGCTTCCTTTCTTCCATCTTAATTTACTTGTTAAGAAAAACAAGTTGAAATATGGATACTTAAACAAGACCAGTTGGATGCCAACATGGATAGAGGAAATAAAAACTGGCCCTACCCCTAGATAAGAGCTACAGGAAACTAACAACTACTAAGAGAGGGAAAATTATTCTTCCCCAGAGATATGTACCCCAAATGGTTATTGAATCCCAAATTGTCTTAGTTAGGGTTTTATTGCTATGAAGAGACACCATGACCATGTCAGCTCTTACAAAGGAAAACATTTAATTAGGGCTGGCTTACACATCAGAGGTTCAGTCCATATTGTCATGGTGGGAAGCATGGCAGCCTGCTGGCAGGCATGGTGCTGGAGAGGTAAGCTACATCTGAATCAGCAGGCAGCGGGAAGTGATTGCCACATTGTATGTGGCTTGAGTATCTGAGACCTCAAAGCCTGCCCCTCAGCTACCACTTTCTCCAACAAGGCCACACCTCCTAATAGTATCACTCCCTATGGGCTTTGGGGGGGGGGTCATTTTTTTTTTCAAACAACCATATTACACTCTCTGGTTTCCATAGGCTTGTAGGCATATCATAATGCAAAATGCATTTAGTTCAACTTCAAAAGTCTCCATAGTCTAAAACAGTCTCAAACTTGTTTAAAAGTTTAAAGACTTTTCTGAAATTGATGAAGTCTCTTACCTGTAATCCCCTGTAAAATCAAAATCAAAAAGTAGATCACATACTTCCAGAAGATAATGGCATAAGATATACATTACCATTAGAAAAGGGAGCATATCGAAGAAATACAGGACCAAAGCAAGACTGAAAACCAGCTGGGCAAACTTCAAACTCTGCATCTCCATGTCTGATGTCAACGTGCTCTTTGGACCTTCAACTCCTTTCAGCTTTCCTGACTGTATCACACTTCTCTCTCTTGGGCTGGTTCCACTCCATGTTAGCAGGTCTCCTCAGCTCGTATCCCACAGCTCTGGCATCTCCAACATCTTGGGGTCTCCAAGGCAATCCAGGCTTCACCTTCACATCTTCACACAGTGGCCTCTTTAGGCTTCCATGCAGGGACACCCCTGACACACACCTGGCCTCAGCAGCTTTCCTGAGTCACTGAGGGAGATTCCATAACTCCTTTATTGTATCCTTGACTCCCAGATCCATCGAAAGCTGCCAAGTTCTGCTGCTTGCTGGGGCTGGAACATGAACCCCTCATTCAGTTACATCTTCATTGTTTTTCTGTTTTCAATGTTTCCTTCATTGCCCAAGCTTGGATGTTCTGGAACTCACTCCATAGACTAGGCTCCCCTTGAACTCAGAGATCCACCTGCTTCTGCCTATAGCGTGCTGGGATTAGGGTGTGCACCACCACACCCACTGACTGACTCCTTAAGGTTGCATAACCATTTGAGGTGCACATCTCTAGGGAAGACTAATTCTCCATCCTATCTTCTTTTCAGTCCATCTCTTTCTATGTCTCTCCAAATTATGGTATTTTCCATTTTAAAAATTGTATTTATTTAATTACAAAGGTAATTACAAACATATGTGTGTGCAGGTATACATATGTACATACTACAGGTTGGTGTGGGGGTCGGTCAGAAAACAACTTGTAGTAGTTGTTTCTCTTCTTTCACTGAATGGAGTCCAGGGATCAACTCAGATCACTGTGTCCCTTTACCCAGTGAACCATCTCACCTGTCCCTAAACTTTTAAGGCTAAATAACATTCCATTGTGTGCATCTACTTTACTCATTCATCTTCTAATGAGCACTTTGGTTGATTCCATATCTTAACTACTGGGATACTGCTTCAGTAGTATGAGAGGCAGATAGCACTTCTATAGCCTGGATTTACACCTGAGTGTATATCTAAGAACAGAGTTGTTGGGTCATGTTGTCCTCCACAATGGCTGTGCCAATCTTCCTCTACATACTTATTATTTGATAATGGCAATTTTAACAGATGTGAGTTTTAGAATCTCATCAGTGTCATCATAGTTTTGACTTGCATTTCCCTGATGATTAGGGGCAGTGAATATTTTACTTTATTGAATATTTTTTCCACCTACCTAGTGACTACTTGTTGTCTTCTTTTGAAAAAGTTCTACTAGGCTTGCTCGCTATTTTTTGTTGTTGTTGTTGTTGTTAAGACAGGGTCTTGTCTATTCCAGGCTTGCCTTAAACTCACTACGTAGCCAAGAATGTTTTTTAACTTCTGATTTTCCTGCCTCCATTTTTCAGGTCTGTACCATTATGCCTAGTTTTATGCTATGCAGTGCTAAGATCTAACCCAGGGCCAGATGAGCACTCTATTAACTGACTTATAGCCTCAACCCTCTGCTAATTTCTGACTCTATCAGCAATCTGGCTCTCAGTCCCAAGTTAGATGTATAGTTTTCAAGTATTTTTTTGTTTATTCTGAAAGTTTTCTCTTCATCCTGTTGATAATTTCTTTCATGGTGCAGGTTTTCAGTTTTGATGTCATCCCATTTGTTTATTTTGGCTTCTATTGCTGTGCTCTTAGGTCACATCCACTTGAGTACAGACTATGTGCTTGCATAGGCACCACTACCACTCCAACCTGTTCAGATCTTTCCTGGTTGCCACCTCACATGGTTTCTATTCCTTTGAGCATGGTGCCAGCTTCCACTCAGCAGCTGAACATTCTCTAGTACCATCCAATGGGATAACAATTGGGTCAGGATAAACCTTCAACTGTAAAGATTCCTTTAATCCATGTTTATCCTGCAGATAGACACACTGAGATTCCTGTTGGCTCATCTGCCCAGTGCCTCCTGATCTGTAACTGTCCAGAAAATATTTCCCCTTCCACATGATTGCAGTGGAAATGATGATTTTATTCTTTTGATCTCATTTGTTTGGCCCTCATTAATTACCTCCATACTGGCCTGAGCCAGTATGAGCCAATGAAGTTTCCCAGAAATTTCTGTGGATGGGGAAAAGAATGTCCTTCTGATCTAAGTGGGGCCAGCAAGGTGGCATACACACCTGAGATTAATCCCTACATGACCCTGAAGCACACATGATGGAGGAGAGAAGTGACTCCTAAGTTGTACTACCACCTCCACATGCCCACCATGCCATGCACTTGCCCCCCTTGCCCCACACAAAACAAAATAAATAAAGGTTAAAAACTTAAAGAATTTAGGGACAGGATGGAGAGACGTCTCGGTTGTTCAGAGTACTTATTACTCTTCCAGAGGACCTGAGTTTACTTCCCAGCACCCATGCCAGGCAGCACACAACTACCTCCAACTCTAATTCTAGCTCTAGGGTATCTGATGCCCTCTTCTGGCTCCACAGGTACTTGCATGCACATGTGTATGCACACATAGATGCAGATACATACACATAAATGAGAACATTTTGATAATTTTTTACTTTTTAAAGTTGTATTTATTTATTATTTATACAGTGTTCTGCCTTCACATATGCCAACAGGCCAGAAGAGAGCACCAGATCTCATTACAGATGGTGGTTCTTGGGAATTAAACTCAGGAGCTTTGGAAGAACAGCCACTGCTCTGAACCTCTGAGCCATCTCTCTAGCCCCATAATTTTTTTTAATGTACTGTCATTGTACTGTCCTAGTTAGTTCACTAAAGTAAAGAAAGCAAAAGTAAGGGTTGGCATTTGAAGAAGGCCCCAGAACACTTGAGGCTTTTGGATGAGTAATTCTTGTCCTATTTTTCTTGCAGATGTCTTGCAAAACACTACCCACCCAATCTACCTACTGCCAGCATAATCATATGCTTCTATAATGAAGAATTTAACACCTTGCTTCGAACAGTTTCAAGTGTGATGAACCGCACTCCATATCCTTTCCTTGAAGAAATAATTCTGGTTGATGACATGAGTGAAATTGGTGAGCAAACACTGACTGTCTATTTGGAAGGTGGCATTCTTCTCTAGTGATACTTAAGATTTGTTTTTGCTTGGAGTGGAGGGGAATGGTCTCACGTAGCTCGGGCTAGCCTCACCTTGAACTCTTGACTCTCTTGTGCTGGATTCATGAGCACACTCCATCACGCATGGCTTGATATTTATATGCTTTGTACTGAAGATGTTTCTGGTGGAGGTTGAGGGGATGCTACACCTGATGCACTCATTACATGTGGTAAGAAGACTGACCCAGACTCTGTCATGATGGGTCCATGAGATCAGCACAATGCGCTAGCCTTAACTTTAGGGATCATTTTAGAAAGAAGTGCCATCTAAATGGAGGAAGCACAGATGAGTTGGGGTTTCCCAGATGTACAAGAAGAAAATATGTTTTAGGTGAAAGAAATGGCAGCTTAAAAGTCCAAAATGAGACAAAACAAGGGTGAGCATGGGATACTTCTGCATTTTGCAAAGTTTATGCATGAGTGTAGAGTTGGAAGGATGTAGGAAAAGGCATAAGGGTGGAGTTACCTAAAGGGGGCTACTTGGAAAGGCATTTTTTAAATACCTTTCAAGAACATGGGGAGCTACGGCTGGGAACGTAGCTCAGTTGGTAGAGTGTTTGCCTAGCATGCATAAATCCTTGGAGTCACTCTTCAACACTACACAAACTGGGTGTGGTGGTGTGTATCTGCAATCCTAGCCAGGGAAGTGGAAGTAGAGGGTCAAGAGGTCAAGGTTGTCCTTGGCTACAGAGCAAGTTCAAAGCCGATTTGAGTTACATGAGAACCTTGTTCAAACACAAATAATGAATGAATGCATAGAGAGAACAAGTTAGGGTTTAACCTGGGGAGATGACCTAATCCAGGTACTTCACAGGAAGGAACTTGATTGAAACAACTGCAAGTAGGTGATGATTCCTCTACGCTTACTTTTTAAAGACAAAATAATGATACCAGAACAAAAGTTTAGTTACCCATGCTTAGACTCTGAAATTGACTGTTTGTTTGTTTAAAACTGAGTATCAACCTTAGGTAAGTTAGGAGTGCCAGGATAATGATGTCAAAATTGGGTAGATTTCAGGCCTGCAAAGTCACCTAACCTACTGGGAAGCTAGTCTATGATGAGGAAAAAGGCATGCTGAATAGAAATGACATTCCAGGAGGGCTACCCTATGTGAGTGACACTAAGTTGCTCTGGCTGTGACCTAAGCTAATGTTACTATATTTGGAAGTTACTGATATTGCCCAGGTGCCTATCATACAGCATTTCCACAGGTGTCATCACTATCTGGTCTTGTGCATGGGATGGCTGCTTCCTCCCTCACCCACACTGCCTTATCTGCTCTGTAGGGCTGAGATGTTTGCAGTTCGATGGGCAGAAAATCCAGGGGAAGGTGGGTGCAGGGTGAAGATAACCTGCTGGCCAGAGGAGTTCTGCTTTCTTACTCAGGAGCTTACAAATCCTATAGTGCGCACACACAGTTCCAGGAGTGACCACGTCTGCTAGCCTTTCAGCTCAGCACCTAGAGTCTAGAGACATGGTGGTCTCTTGTCAATTTGACAAGGTAGCTTGATCAACAAACACTGATCTGAGACCAAGGTGCCAATAAGACCAGGTTGTTGGTAAAGGCATTCTTCCTGGTTTTTAGATTGATGCCCGTTGCTCCATCCTCTTTGGATCAGGTGAGCTGTTGGGCCTCTTCCTTTAAGTCCATTCATGCGGACTCCACCCTCATGATCTAATACCAAAGTAGCTACTCCAAATCACATTGGTGATTTTGATATATGTATTTGGAGCTGGTAGACACAAACACTCAGTCCATGATCTCTATTGACTTGGTCATATATATATCTTGCAGTTTAGTCCCCTTCATAAGAGCCCAAGAGGGTCATTCCCAATTCCTGATTGTGCTGCCAGACCATCTTCTCTATCATTCCTTTACCTTAGCCTCAAAAACAGGATACAAAGTGTTGTGTTCCAATGGAACTCAGGATTAATATATTCGTTACTTTAGTTCAGAGTAACTTTATCATAAATTGTGTGACAAATCTGAACTGAAAACTATACATGCCCTCAGAGAGTGCCAATGGCTTCCTCAGCTTGAGGGAGTTGGGGTTAGGTAGCTCTTGAACTTGCTTGGTTTTATAACTCACCTTCAAGTCATTACAAAATTAGAAGAAAAACTGATCATAGTACAACTTGTATAGTTAGTAGTGAAACCAGGTTACAACAAAAGCCTACACTTTTTCTACTAATTTTTAATAATGATTTAGTAAAGCAAAGATATATCACTAGACACATAAAATTGGACAGTTTGATTATGAACCACTTTTCATGTGAATTTGAGGCTAACCAGGGACATATTAAAATCTATGCAATAGCAGTTTTTTATTGGTCATAATGATAACTGTTTAAATTTCTATATAGATGCATTTATATATAGATGCATCTATATATGCATCTATATATAAATTTCTATAGACAATTTATAAATTGTCAAGTGTCAATATTTTTCCCAGATGATTTGAAAGAGCAACTGAACTATCATCTGGAACTTTTCCGTGGAAAGATTAAGTTAATAAGAAACAAAAAGAGAGAAGGCCTCATCAGATCAAGGATGATCGGTGCCTCCCGTGCCTCAGGTATGAACATCCTTTCAGGCCATGAACTGGTGTAGTAATTATTTTTTTCTGTTGCTTCACTAAGTAGGAAAAGGGTTCATGTGGCTCATGATATGAGGGTACACAGCCTGTGTCTGCAAGGAAGATATGGTGGCAGGAGTGGAAGTTGACTGGGAACATCGTGTTTGCACTCAGGAAGCAAGAGTGAATAGGATGTGGGGCTGAGCTATAAAACTTTAAGGCCCACTACCAGTGCCTCATTTTTTCAGCAAGGTTCTACCGCCGAAAGGTTCCATAACTTTCCCAAACAGTGCCACCAACTGAGCCCAAGTGTTCAAATGCAAAAGCCTGTAGGGACAGCTATCATGACACGGGGAGTCTTCCTGCATAGGAACAGTCCTATGTCATAGCACATGTCACAGCAGGCTCAGATTTTTGATCTTCCACTACCTCCAAAATATTCTTCTCCAAAATGTCGTCTCATATGGAAGGCAGTCTTTTACAAAGGCCATGGCATCAGCCCCATCACAAACTGAGTTCCCCTGAGAATAGACTTCAAGAAGGAGTTTTAGATGAATTTTAAAGGATATCAAGAAAAGCATGTCCCGATCACCTTCCCAGGCTGAACAGTGGGCACAAAAACACCAGAGACTGGGAGTCCCAGTCGTGAGAAAAACCCACGGGGAAAGAAGGCAGTGGGACTGGCCACAGGTCACCCAGTCTTTACCTGGAAAAAGTCTCGCAGACCGCAGGTACGAGCCGCCATCACTGAACTGGGCTCCAGCTGCCAGCTCGGAGAGTGGCTGCGCTCTCAGCTCTCCGGCACAGATAGAGCTGTGCACCCCAGGGCAACAGAGACTGGGAGTCCCTGTCAGGAGTAAACCCCACAGGGAAGGAAGGAAACGGGGTCCTGAATTAGGTCATACAATATATCCCTGGGAAAGGTCCCGCAGACTAGCGGGCGGGTGTATGGACACCCCAGAGACCTGCTTTGTACCAACTATTCCTCACAGACAGAACAGTGCACCCCAGGACACCAGAGACTTGGAGTCACTGTTAGGAGAAATCCTCACAGGGAACGAAACAAAGGGGACGGACTTAGCAACCCAGTATATCCCCGGAAAAGGTCCCACAGACTGGCCCAATCCAGGGACCTGCTGTGCACCAGATAGCCTGCTGTTACCTGGAGAACAGTACTCACCCGCCACAGATTACGGCTTGGGTAGTGGGGCACAGAGCCCCAACCTCAGACCTACAAAAGCCCGGGATCCCCGAGATCAACCCCCAGATACTGCTCCAAGGGGCAACCAGTTATTGCTAACAAAACTGACCAAACCAAAGGACACACAGGTTACAGCAGCAGATCACTAAATTTACAGCAAGAAACCTAGAAGCAGGGCAGCTGTCTCCAGGACTTCTCCGGATGAGAGGAGAGCCCTCTCTACTAACAAGGACCACAGTTACCACTCAGGTCTCTATGCCTGAGGTGAGCTGTGGCAACTCCTGAAAAACACCAGACTTACAGTGACTATCCCCAAAAAGCTGACGAGGCTTCCTCCGGGAAAAACCATCTTCCTGTCAAGGGGATTCTCTCCACCACAGGATTCCAGGAACTACCAGAAACTAACTCCAAACACCTACGATAGATAGCCCAATGGATAAAGGCCAGCGTAAAAGCTCAACCAACAAAAGACAGAGCAGTATGGCATCTCCAGAATCCAGTTATCCAGGAGCAAGTAGCCGTGGACACCCCAGCAAAAATGAAATTCAAGAAGATGACCTAACATCTATGCTCTTGAAGAGGATAACAGAGGAAACAAATAAAATGCGTAAAGACCTAGAGGAAGATAAACTCAAACAGATTATGCCCATCTGTAAAGAAACAGAGGAAGATAAAAACAAGCAGATTATGGCCATCCGTAAAGAAATAGAAGAAGATAAATAAAAACAGAATATGGCCATCTGTTAAGAAATACAGGAAGTTGCAGCCAAACAGTTTGTGGACTTTAGAGAGGAAATACTTAAATCACTGAAAGAATAAAAGAAACAGAGGATTGTTCAAACAAACAGCTGAAGGAATTGAAGGAAAATACAGTCAGACAGGTGAAGGAAATCAACAAAATGGCTCAAGACCTGAAGATAGAATTGGAAAAATTAAAGAACACACAAATGGAGGAAATTGTGGAGAGAAAGAACTTAGGGAAGAAAACAGGAACTACAAAGGTAAGCATAACTAATAGACTACAAGAGATGGAAGAAAGAATTTCAGGTGTGGAAGATACAATGGATGAAACTGATGTATCTGTCAAAGAAAATGTTAAATCTAAAAAATTCCTGACACAGACCGTCCAAGAAATCCAAGACAACATAAAAAGACAAACCTAAGATAATAGGAATAGAGGAAAAAGAAGATTCCCTCCTCCAAGGACCAGAAAATATTTTCAACAAAATCATTGAAGAAAATTTCCCCAACTTAAAGGAGAGGACAATAAGAATACAAGAGGCCTACAGAACACCCAATAAATTAGACCAGAAAAGAAAATCCTCCTGCCACATAATAATCAAAACCGTAAGTATACAGAACAAGGAAAAAATACTAAAAGCTGCAAGGGAAAAAGGCCAAGTAACATATAATGGCAAACCCATTAGAATCACACCTGACTTTTCAACAGAGACTATGAAAGCCAGAAGGGCCTGGACAGATATCATGCAGATCCGAAGAGAACACAGATGTCAGCCCAGGCTACTATACCCAGCAAAACTCTCAGTCCTCATAGACGGAAAAAACAAGATATTCAATGACAAAAACAAATTTCAACAATACCTACAAACAAATCCAGCATTACAGAAGACACTAGAAGGGAAAATACAACCCAAGAAAACTAGCTACTTTCAAGGAAACACAGGAAATAATTAACCTCACTACGGTAAAACAATAAGCAACCAAACACACAAACTTATGACCACAGCCAACGTCAAAATCAACGGATCTGACAGCCACTGGTCATTAATCTCTCTCAACATCAATGGACTCAATTCTCCAATAAAAAGACACAGACTAACAGAATGGATGCGTAAACAAGATCCAGCAGTCTGTTGCACAAGAAACACACCTAAGTCACAAAGATAGACATTACCTGAGGATAAAGGGATGGAAGACAGCTTTCCAAGCAAATGGACCCAAGAAGCAAGCAGGAGTAGCCATTCTAATAACTGATAAAATAGACTTTCAACCAAAATTAATCAAAAGAGATGGGGAAGGACACTTCATATTCATCAAGGGAACATTCCACCAGGAAGACAGCACAATCCTGAACATCTAGGCACCCACATTTGTAAAAGAAACATTGATAAAACTTAAACCATACATTAATAGTGGGAGACTTCAACACCCCACTCTCAACAAAAGACAGGTCAACAAAACAGAAATTAAACAAAGAAACAACGTCTCTAACAGAGGTCATGGATCAAATAGACCTAACAGACATTTACAGAACCTTACACCCAAACACAAAAGAATTTACCTTCTTCTCAGCACCTCATGGAACCTTCTCCAAAATAGAGCATATAGTGGGTCACAAAGCAAGCCTCAACAGATATAAAAAGATTGAAATAATCCTATGTATCCTATCTGATCACCATGGAATAAAGTTGGACCTCAACAACAACAGAAATAACAAAAAGCCTACACACACATGGAAATTGAACGACTTGCTACTAAATGATAGCTGGGTCAGGGAAGAAATAAAGAAATTAACGACTTCCTAGAATTCAATGAAAATGAAGGCACACCATACCCAAACTTGTGGGACACAATGAAAGCAGTGCTAAGAGGAAAGCTCATAGCACTAAGTGCCTTCAAGAAGAAATTTGAGACAGCTCATTCAAGCAACTTAATGGCTCACCTGAAAACCCTAGAAAAAAGAAGCAGCAGACACCAAAAAGGAGTAGACGGCTGGAAATAATCAAACTCAGGGCTGAAAACAATCAATTAGAAACAAATAAAACAATTCAAAGAATCAATGAAACCAAGAGCTGGTTCTTTGAGAAAATCAACAAGATAGACAAATCCTTAGCCAAGCTAACTCAAAGGCAGAGAGACACCATCCAAATCAACAAAATCGGCAAACATAGGTTCTAGCGCCAGGCTGCTTCTGGCAGAGAGATCTGGGCCCAGGATCTGGGATTGAGGACACTCAACCAACTCTTTCCCACGCTACCCCAGGACCAGCCAACATAACCCTTCCCTGGCGGAGGGGAAGGACAGAGAGGTTGCACACAGGGCAGGGGGACACTGAGTCCTGCTGCCACAGCACCACAGAGCTGACTGTTAGCCTACCCACACATTTTTCCGCAGCAGGACCAAATCAGAGAGTAGAAAATCTAAATGAAATGGACAATTTTCTTGATCGATTCCACTTACCAAAACTGAATCAAGACCAGGTAAATCAACTAAATAGTCCTATATCCCCCAAGGAAATAGAAGCAGTTATCGAAAGTCTCCCATCCAAAATAAGCGCAGGACCAGATGGTTTCAGCACAGAATTCTACCAGACCTTCAAATAAGAGCTAACTCCAATTCTCTTCAAACTATTCCACAAAATAGAAACAGAAGGAACACTACCAAACTCATTCTATGAAGCCACAGTCACCTTGGTACCTAAACCTCACAAAGACCCAAAAAAGAAAGTGAATTTCAGGCCAATCTCCCTTATAAACATTGATGCAAAAATACTCAACAAAATACTTGCAAACCGAATACAAGAACACATCAAAGATATCCACTATGAGCAAGTAGGCTTCATCCCAGGTATGCAGGGGTGGTTCAATATATGGAAATCCATCAATGTGATCCACCATATTAACAAACTGAAAGAAAAAAAAAAACACATGATAATCTCCCTAGATGCTGAAAAAGCATTTGACAAAATCCAACATCCATTCATGTTTAAAGTCTTGGAGAGATCAGGGATACAAGGCACATATCTAAACATAGTAAAGGCAATATACAGCAAGCCTAT